CCGTCTGCGAATGAGGCGAATCCATTCCACGATGACCATCTTCTGGCCTGAGAACTGGCGAGAATGTCGCCGCACTCGAAACCGAGACCGTTGGAGCTTTTTCAGTCTTGTCGTTTCTTATCAGTTGATGTACCGGTGGTGGACCTGTAAGGATAAAGAAATAAGGAAAGAGAGATATCAAACGTTACGAATTGTTATCGAAATATAATTGATGATATAAACGTTAAATATAAAGAGATTATGGAAATAAAGGAAGGTAGAAATGAAATAAAAAAAATCGCCTTTTATCGTCATTAAATAACACTTTTTTGACTATTATTGCAGTAGTAGATCGACGACACCTTCCCCGCAGTGTTAATTCAGTGACAATGCGGTCAATCAAGCGCTTAGTTTCGCGGCCATAAAGCAACCCCTACGTAGGAACATACGTACGTAACTCTACCTATTATATAGATATATATGTATGTATGTATGTATATATGTATATATGTATGTATACATGTATGTATCTATGTATATATGTATTTATGTATATATGTATGTATCTATGTATATATGTATGTATCTATGTATATATGTATGTATCTATGTATATATGTATGTATCTATGTATATATGTATGTATCTATGTATATATGTATGTATATATGTATGTATGTATGTACGTATGCATATATGTATGTATGTACGTACATACGATAAAAGGGAGCCACGAGGAGAATAGCCGTTTGCTTGGCCGAAATCCAGATATGTTTATTGCTGGAATTTTTCTCTGTGTATGTTTTAAGCCCGTAGAAGGTGGTCATTTTATTCCGACGGTAAATTTTCTCTCTATCTTTACTCATACCACTCAACCAATCTCTTCTCCCTCCACTTTCTCCTTTTACTCATCCTCCCCCCTTCCACTACCAACATCGTCACAACACCATCTTCTCGTATCTCTCGACGCGAATCGGTATCGGTACTTTGCAATCGCTCCTGAACAAAAACTTGGGCTTGGAAATACGCGTTAAAGATACCACCGAGAAACTTTAAATTAGTTTATTCTAATCTTACTTTCTCTCTCTTTCTTTCTCTCTCTCTCTCTCTCTCTCTTTCTCTCTATCTATCTGTCTATCTATCTTCCACACTCTTTCTCTACTAGAAACTCTCTTGAGAATGTAGGTAGGTACACGCGCATAACGTACGATTCAAATTTGGATCGTAATCAGAGAATGACTCGGTTAAGAGCGAGGAAAGCTTACCGGTTAAACTTTCTTCGATAACTGGGTCAAACGCGCGGCATTCTCGCGCTAGGATTCTCCCTTTCCCTCCTTATTTCCCTCCCTTCCTCTGCCTCTCTCTCTCTCTCTAACTCTTTCCCTCTCTCTCTCTCTCTTTCTCTCTCTTTCTCTCTCTATCTCACGGATTAAATAGATAAAATACTTTCTTGACAACGTGAATCGGTAAAAATGAAAAACTGATTAATTTTCTTTTTCTCTATTTCGCGATGTTCAAAAAGAAAAGAAAAGAAAAAAAGAAAAGAAAAGAAAAAAAAAAAGAAAAGAAAAGGAAATAAATGAAATTAGAGGAAAAAGAAAGAAGTATAGTTGGTGCAAACATTTGGGATACGGGGAATAAAATCACAGACTATCCAGGATTCATTAAAATGAAAAGCACATAATTTTTGATCGTTGGAAAATTCCAACGGTAAGTGCATCTTGCTCGTTACGAACGATGGACCTTCGAAATATCTAGGCCATCTCTGCACTCGCATAATTTCTCCGTCGTATAACTTGCTAAACTACGAGAGAAAGATGAGACTCTTGCCATGTTACTCGCTTGATCCGAGTTATATTTATACGTAAAAGAAAGAAAAGAGAGAAATAGAGAAAGAGAAAGAGAGAGAGAGAGAGAGAGAGAGAGAGAGAGAGTTTCACGAGATGTCATGTTGAAACTTATTTCTGATGATCACTTCCGTTTCCGTATGGTTTGATCGATGCAAATTAAAATAATCGATGCAGATTAAAATAAGATATATATATATATATATATATATATATATATATATACACATGAAGATAAAAAAAGATAGTAACAAAAGAATTACATTATCATTCAAATGATAAAATAAATAAATAAATAAAAAAGAAGATAAAGCGATAATATCGAACATTAAAAGAAAAAGAAACTTACTGAAGCTAGCCGCAGGCTGAGTATGATCCGCGGCCGTGGCTGCGGATGGAGGGGTGTAGCTGCTGCAGTAGTACGGCGGGTGCTCTATTTTGATCGCGTTTATTTGAGGCTGCATGTCGCTGAGGTCATGCAGTATGGACGCTGAAACCAGACACACATCAACGGTTACGGATCCTCGATGCTTACCACCTACGTCATCGCGTACGTCGAGTCGAAGGGATAGGGCAGCCATTACGAAAACAACTTTCTTATTCTTTCCCTTCCGCCTTCGAACTCGATGATTCTCCCTGCGACTTTTCAATCGAGAAATATATAATGAATTGCAGTTATATATATATACACACATACAATTGTATATATATGCGTGTTAGAATTTATATATGTATGTTATAATTATGTATATATATATATATATTATGTAATATAATTATGCATATATATATATATATATATATACACGTAAGGAAGACATATCGTATATTTGCATTCAATTCTGACTTATATCAACATTAAAAATCCATGAAAACAATCTGAATAAGATGAAAAGATTCTACAAAGAATCATTTAGTCAATGATTCACGGTGTATATATGAAGAAGTTCGTCACTGCATGAAAACACGTAAATACATAATACATATATTATCGAACTACTACAGTACGTAGAATTATTTTTATGTTCAAGATTGAAAGACGCATTTTATTTGATCAAGACTCAGCTATCTAATTGATCATCGATTATTATAAAAGAAGAAAAAAAATAAAAATAAAAAGAAATAGTATACCTAAAGAAAAAAAAAAAGAAAAAATAAGACGTATCGTCGGACAAAATTTAGAGATTGAGATTACGCGAATACATAGACATTATCAAGAGAACGTCCCACGGGAGGATCTAATTATAAGATGACGAGGACGGTGAGGAAGAATCTTCTCGAATGGTGCGTAGCTTAGGTATATTCGAAGAGGGCCAACGGATATTTATTCGGCACGTTCTCTATCCAGCGACTCGTCTTGCAGCAAATAGGCACTGACGCGGATCCATCGAGGGACAGGTGCTGTTTCTTGGCCGTTCCCCTTTTATTTTTTTTTCTTCTTTCTTTCTCTTTCTTTCCTTTTTTCTACTTTTTTATGTCATCACTTTCGTTCGATCTAAGTCATGCGAAAAAATTTTACAAGAATAATCCCTCAGCGAAAACTCTTGGAGAAAATAGATTTTCTTTCCCTCATCCCTATCCCACCACCTTTTACCCTCCTCCTCCCGCCCCGTTTACCAGCACCTTCAAATAGGAAAAGCGAACGCGTTCTTTTGTCCTCGATGCGGAACCTACGGAAGTTACAAAGCCTGGACGGTATCACGTGATGTTGAAAAACAGAAAGAGAGAGAAAGAGAGAGGAAGAGAGGAAGGGAAGTAGGGGCAGAAAGGGGGAGAGGGAGGTCGATCGTTCCACAACGTCATCGCACGGAAAAATGTTCTCTCGCTTTTCGCACAATGCCATCGAGAATATTAATCCTACGCCTTTTTTCCCTTTCGCCCGGACGATTACGCGTGGCAAAAATTGCGCCCCCTTTTTTTTCTTTCTTTCTTTCTCTCTTTTTCTTTTTTCTTTTTCTTTTTTTCCGTTCGCCCTATCACCATCATGCACCCACCCAGTAGGCCGTTCACTAGATACTCGGGAAAACGCATGCCCGTGTTGGTGGTCCACATGATGTTGGTGCAAACTCCACTAGGGGAAAGAGAGTCGAATATTGGGGAGAAAAAAAAAGATCCTAGAAAATAGTGCTCCCCGCGGGCCTAGAGTTGCTAGAGTCATGAGGACTAAAAAGAGAGATAGAGAGATAGACAGAGAGATACAGATAGAGAAAGAAAAAGAGACAGAGAGAGAGAGACAGAAAGAGAGAGAGAGAGAGAGAGAGAGAGAGAGAGAGAGAGAGAGAGAGAGAGAGAGAGAGAGGATCTGCTGTGGGAGTATGTGCATTGTGGGAGCAAAAGTGGAGGGAGAGGGAGAGAGAATGGAGAACGGACCAGGATTGCACGTGCATCGGCGTCAGCTTGATTCCCATTTTTTTTTAACCAAGAAAACTTTGCTCGAATCGGTTCGCGATCGTTTCTTCGTTACTATAATATATACTATAGTTCTCTCACTGTCGTACTTTGGAAACAAAAAGATCTTGTTAGGAAGTAATGACTATATTTGATTGAATGATCGATCAATTCTGATTTTCGTGATAAATGACGTGAGAAATGACATTAATACTAACACGAAAAAAGAGATAGAGAGAAAAAGAGAGAGAAAAAGAGAGAGAAAAAGAGAGAAAAAAAGAGAGAGAACGAGAAAGAGAGAGAGAGAGAGAGAGAGAGAGAGAGAGAGAGAAATCTCTTTGTAATCGTTTTCTAATTGACTCGAGATTCTTCACAAAGGAATGTATTACGAAAACGAAAAAGATTTCTTTCTTCTCTTCCGTCTTTCTCTCACCTTGTTTTGTTTGCCACTTCGCATTGCCACAATTTTCCAAGTGTTAAGAGTCCGCCCCTCCTAACAAGTTATTTCCACGTCGGGAGAAACGCGGAAAGACGGAAACCGTTCAGGAAAGCACAATTGAGCCGTAACAGTGGCGCGAAAACCACCAGCAACGAGACTCGCCTGCCTGCCTCCAATAAACTTGAGCGGAGAGGAAAGAGAATGTTCACGGAAACGAGAGAGAAAGAGAAAGAGAGAGAGAGAGAGAGAGAGAGAGAGAGAGAGAGAGAAGGAGAAAGAGAGAAAAGGAAAGAAGGAGAAACAGAACGAACGAACGAATGAGAGAGAGAGAGAGAGAGAGAGTCCGAAGCTCTTAGCAAGCTCTGAGGCCCTGAGCATTGTTCCCCGTCTATTAATACACCGGGTTGCATACTAATCTGCTGCCACAAGAGAGGAAAAGAGAGGAGACGAGTTGGTGAGATACTAGCTAGAGAAAGAGGGAGAGAGAGAGAGAGAAAGAGAGAGAGAGAGAGAGAAAGAGAGAGAGAGAGAGAGAAAGAGAGAGAGAGAGAAAGAGAAAGAGAGAGAGAGAGAGAGAGAAAGAGAGAGAGAGAGAGAGAAAGAGAGAGAGAGAGAAAGAGAGATACGGCTATACTACTCACTGCGTGCATTTGTCGAGGCGTGTTTCGAGACTCGCACAGTTTCTTGATACGCGTTCTCCTGGCCTATTATTCTATTTAACGACAATGTTAGTCGCGTGTCTAGCACGAGCTATCACGATTGTATCCCTCGTTTGGTCATTTTTTGTTTCTTTCTTTTTTTTCTCTTTCTTTTTTCTTTCTTTCTTTCTTTTTTCTTTCTTTCTTTCTTTTTTCTCTTTTCTTTATTTTCTTTTTTTGAATGTAAATTGCGATCATCGATCGAAAATTGATCGATAACTTTTATATATATGTATGTATATATCTTATTTTATTGATTTGTAATACAATATCGTATTCATCATATTTCTATTTTTATTGAATAGCTGTTATTGTTTGATAATGAAATATATTAAATTTTATTATTTGAATTTAAATACATAATGAAATAAGAATATTGTAATTGTGGTGTGTGAATGTATATCAAGCAATTTTTGAAAAACCAAGGAAAACATGTTTCAAATATATTAGTTGAAATATATTCGTTTCAATTTTTATTAGATACTTGTGATTGTTAGATGATAAAATAAATTTTACTGCATTTAAAATATAACAAATAGATATCGAGAAGAAAATGAGAAAAATTCGAACTTACAAAAATGGAAGGAATATATTATTTTTTTTGTGAATACCGAAAAAGAATTTCTCTTTTTCTCTCTCTTTTTTTCGTAATTTTTTCTTTCACGTTTTTCCGGGAGAACACTTTTTTAAAGTCGGCTAAGCTCTAAAATTTACAGTAAATTGCGAAAGTAGTACCGAACAACCCCTAAATGCATTCGTCCGGCTCGAGTCACTCTCTCACACTATGTGCGCATATTATCTCTTCTTTCTATCTTTTATTTATTTTTTCTTTTTATGACCGTTCCATTTGATTTATCAAAGGTTAAAAAAATTATCTCCGCGTAATTGCTACATCTTTTCTAACTTTACTTCCTTTTCTCTTGTTCATTACGTCAAACTTAATTTCTCTATTTTCCTTGTTCTTATATTTTTATATTCTTATATATTTATTTGCTAACAAATGAAAGAATAATGATGACGTATGATCGATTTCAATGATCGCGATCCGACGTACACGTTAGGATGCTTTCAAAAGATCTCGATATTATTTTGTGCGTTACCTTTCGAAAGCATCGAACGTGAAGCATGACTTATCGATCGAACTTTAGAAAGCTTTTAGATAAAAACATCTTTTGTATATATCTACAATATGTATATATATATATATGTATATATACACATATATACACGTATGTATGTATGCATGTATGCATTAAAATATATGCTTATTCTTCGATTTCATGCAAAATAAAACAAAATCGCGGATATTTGCTAGTGTAAAAAAAAAAAGATTTCGTCGTACCTTTTGAAAGCATCCAGAGCTCCTTCGAGCTGAAGACACCTGTCGCGAGGATCGTGTCATTGCACACGACACCGTTATAAAGTTCGTGGTATCCTGCACCTGGGAACAGAACCCAGTCGGCGATGTTTCGTTATGTAATTCTCATTGAGGTACATTCTTTTGGAATCGCTATAAAACAGTTGCTTTGCTTGTTTTATATTATCAATATAGAATCAAGGTAATGTGAAGGAAGAGATGATTGGGTTTGTAATGAAAATAATATGAAAAAAAAAGAAAAAATAAAGGCGGGGAAACAAAAAAAGAAACATCAAAGAAAGAAACATAAATAAAAGGCAATAATGTATTTAAAGAACAAATAATTCTCGTTTTATACCTTTTCGCCGCCTTTCCTCTTCTTTGCTTGCATTGCAGATGCCATTTAGGACCTCTGTAAATAATAAGAAAAAGAAAACAACATTGGAACGAGCAAAATCTGCTTTGAATATTTAATTAAAATCCTTTTCATCTTTTCCCTATTCTTTTTCCTTTTATTTTTTTTCTTCCTACTTTCCTACCTTCCTTCTTCATATATCCCACGAGTCTAATTCCCTCTTCATCAACGACTTTACCGTCACACGAATGTTTTATATCGTCGAGCCTTACGCAAATCTCATTACGCAACATACCACCGAAATACACGGGAGCAGCCCGGAACGCGTGTGTTCGAGTTTTCGAGGGTGACGAGAATCACACGCGTTTACTTTCTGCGCCTCTAAGAATTAATCGATTATAATCAAACTAATCACGAAGTATCCTTTTCTCTCTTTC